TGATCGACACCTAACTGCTCCCCTGATGGCCTGATTGGCCCTAATTGCCCTGCCCTGCCAGCCTAGTTGCTCTAACTGCCTTCCCCTGCCAGTCTGGTTATCCCTAACTGTGCTCCCCTACAGGCCTGATTGTCCCCAACTGCCCTCCCCTACAGGCCTGGTCACCCCTAATTGCCCTCCCCTGCTGGCCTGATTGCCCACAACTGTCCTGCCCTGCTGGCCATCTTGTGGTGGCCATCTTGTTTCCACATGGGGGCAGCCATCTTGTGTATTGGAGTGATGGTCAATTTGCATATTACTTATTTATTATATAGTATTTACAAAAAGGTTTAATTAAAATAATTCTACCCAAATGTCTAATAAGAAAGCAGACAATCAATAAATTTCTATTTGCTTTCCCCCCCTCCAGAAATTTGACCATCAAGATCTTCTGCTGCTCAGAAAATCTATCTTCATTGCCTAATTCTACCAGTTATTGATCTAACTGACCTCAACTCTCCCAATTTGATCATTTAAAATTTACCCAAATAAAACAAACCTTAAAATGAAAGTAAAAAAACATATTACTGACAAAAGAGAGTTCTTTGGAGAAACAAATATAGGCCAGGCCTCTGCATCTATGAATTTGATATATCTGATTAATAATGTGGGTAGAGTCAAGCCAGTGCAGCTCAATGGTTGAGCATCAAACAATGAACTAAGAGGTCAAGGTTTGATTCCTGGTCAGGGAACATGCCTGGGTTGCAGGCTTGATTCTTAGTAGGAAACATGCAGGAGGCAGCTGATAGATGATTCTCTCTCATCATTTATATTTCTACCTCTCTCTCCTTCTCCCTTCCTCTCTCCAAAATCAATAAAATCCCATTTAAAAAATAATAATAATATAAGTAACTGCTTGTGATGAACAGATAAAATGAATGCCATCATTGCTACCATGCTCACAAATGTAAGTTTTACTCATTCATTTCAGATTGGGGTGCTCTGGGGCAGTGACCAGCAAACTCATTGGTCAATAGAGCCAAATATCTACAGTTCAATGATTGAAATTTCTTTTGAGAGCCAAATTTTTTTTAAACTTAAACTATAAAGGTAGGTACATTGTTATTAACTTAATTAGGGTACTCCTAAGCTGGGGTATCATGTCTTGCTTTTTTCTTTCTTTCTTTTTTCTTTTTTTTTTTTTTTTTTTTTTTTTGCTTGTTTTATAAGCATTCCTTTAAAGATCAGTAAAATGAGATATTTTTGCAACCTTTTTAATGTGTTTTTGTTTGTTTGTTTGTTTGTTTTTTACTGAGAATATTGTATTCTTAGAAATATGTTAATCCCTTCTACAGAACCTTTACCTTCCTTAGTACCCAAGTGAATATGCCCCGAAAAGGCCATCAGTGGAAACAGAATAGCAGCTGAGATATCACCATTAATCTACAGGCATGGCTCCTTTTATGTTCATGGCGGCACATATGGCATTGCATAGGCACCACATGGCACATTTCTTGCTGTTCACATAAATCAGGTATTTTGTTTTTGGTGGAGGTGGTGTGGTAATACATACATCTGTGTGTTTTGGTGATGGTGCCAGGAATCACTGTGGTGTGCTAACACATTAGTACAATTCAAAAGACATTGATTTTAGGACAAGATAATGTCTCAGTTCCTTTTCTCTTTTTACCTCCACATGATAAGCATTCTTAAGGCAATGTTTTAGGTGGGAATGCATATTAGGATAACTAGTAAATCAGCCAATTTTGGAGTCAGTCATTGGAGGCAAAATAGCATATGGAACATTTTACTTCCGTTTTAAGTTATAAAGGTAAAAATGTGCTATGCTCAGTAATGGACAGCTTAAGAAAAGTGTTATTTTTAATATTTCCAACAGTTTTCTAGAGTTTTATGTGTTTTTTTTTCCCTTTTTGTCAATACATTATGGCTCAAAAAATTTATAATTAAAGTGTATGGGGGAAAAATCCATGCAATTGCTATTGATTTTATTCATAGTCAATCAAGATAAATTGGAATCTCTTTGAGCTTATTCAGAAAACATTGACAAGAACAAAATCAAAAGGAGAAAGATATTTTACTTTTAAAGGGTTTATTACCGTATTTTTTGGCGTATAAGATGACCCCCTAATTTTATAGTTAAAACAGGTTTAGGGCTATATTCTCTGCATAAGACTACCCCCCACTTCCGAGGCAACACCAGTTCTTTTTTTAATAGACCGCCTCTCTGACTCTGGCCAATCTGAGCAGGCTTTTTATGCATGCAAATTATACATGTTCTGTACCCGAAGCTACACTGGGTTCTAGTAAAAAGCCAGATTGGCCAGAGTTAGAGAGGCGGTCTATTAAAAAAAAAAAAAGAGTCTATTAAAAAAAGAACTGGTGTTGCCTCAGAAGTGGGGGGTAGTCTTATACAGCAAATATAGGCCTAAACCTATGTTTTAACTGTAAAATTAGGGGGTCGTCTTATACGCTGGAAAATACGGTATAAATTCCACTTCTATCCACCAAATTATTTTTACTCCATTATCACAGTTATCACATTTTCTTTCTCTTTCAAGACAACTGGGGTTCATACTTAACTTATACTTCTTTTTATCTTTTTCATACCCATGGTACCTAACTAAAAATAAATATTACAATATGTTTTGTTTTGTTTTGAATATCCATGACTGCATCCAATCCTAAAAAGATTCCAATTCAGTATGCTTAAAATATACAGAAAGGACACAGGTAACTCAAAAGCATAATTATCCTAAATAATAAAAAGCTAATATGCAAATTATCCCCTCAGGTAGGAGTTTGACCAACTGAGAGTTCAACCACCAACCTCCTGCACCCCTCATCCAGCTCAGATTGGAGTGTGCTGGCCAGACATCACCCATGCATGAATTCATGCACTAAGCCTCTAGTAATTAATAATACTATATCTTGATCTTAAACTGTCTGCAATCACGTACACATTTGAATATTTGATAAAAAAAGAGAAATTTCTGCCTAAAAATGCACATAAATAGAGACACATGGAAATGCAAATATATTTTCATAAAATTACATCCTAAGACTTTATTCCACCAATATGTTAGACTCCCTCATTATGACTCTAATATATAATAGTAATTTTTTCTCTGTTGTCCTTATATTCCACTCTGCATACTCTATTAGCCCTCCTCCACACTTCCCAGGCTGCCTTTATATTTGAAGCTACACAATACTTGGATTTGTTATGTTTAGGAGCAAGTTTACACCATAGTTTACAGAAGTAGTGGAAAGTCATACAAAAATAAGTAGCCTCAAATTTTGGAGTGCAGAGATGAATAATCCATACTACCATTCATTCATTCATTAAATACTACCCTGCCTGGGAAACGGTGGTAAGGGGTGTCGGCGAGGAAGGAGATAAGCTGGGGAAAAGATGGATAATTCATATTCTATTTACAGTGGTACATGGCTTACCATTAAGAATAAGATAGATTCTTGGTGAATAGAAGCTGAAAGAAAGGATGAGCAAATAAATAAATAAATGGATAGCTGAAGAAACTGACTAATGAAAATAAAAAGGAGAGACCTTATCTATTCAGCTTTAACTTCTATGGTCAGTTTCCTCATCTGCCAAGTGAGGGCATAAGAAACAGTTTAGATTCTCTTCCTTCTCAAAAAAAAGGCTTCCTATATTTTTCTTACCACTCTGTGAATAGAAACTTAGACAAGTGGAGACCTAATTCCCTAGTGGAAAGCAAGTATCCAAACTGTAATTAAAAGCCAGGTGACAAGAGAAGGAGTGGGGGAAAAGATGCTTATTTGGCAATATATCATGATAAGTTAAAGGCTGGCAAATAAACTATTTTCTATAAACTTTTTAATATTGGGGTAGCTTATAAACATATTGTTTCAGCACAAAAGATACATAAAATGCATGTTATTTCAACTTCTAAAGGAATGAAGTAGATCTATGTGCCTTCATATGAAACACTGTCCAAAATAAGTTATTCATTGAAATAAATAAGATTCAGAAGAAAGAATACTAAATGCTGTCAGTTATATAATATGTTTTTATAGAACATTTCCACAAGGGTAAGTAGTAAACTGGCAATTGGGGCTGCCTTCAAAGAGGGAACTAGGAAGCTAGAAGAAATTTTAGGGGGGAAATTAATTCACACTGCATTGTTGAAATGTTTGAATTTGTATTAGGTGCATTATTGCCTACTATAAAATATTTTTAAAGAGATACAAAATATACTGAATATGTAAAGCAAAAAACTAAAACTTTTAATCACTAGTGGAATTCTATTTTTTTAAATATCAATATATTATATTGATTTTTTACAGAGAGGAAGGAAGAGGGATAGAGAACTAGAATCATCGACCAGCTGCCTCCTGCACAAGATGTGCCTGAGATTGGAATGGAACCTGGGATCTTTCAGTCCACACACTGACACTCTATCCACTGAGCCAAACTGGTTTTGGCTGGAATTCTATTTTAAATGCTGTGATGCAGTCTATAATATATGTCTATTGCAAACCAAAAATATTTGGCAGAAAGAAATCAATGGATATGATGTGGTATTATCTTCCATTTTTGTTGCTTTATCCATCAATTAAAAAATATAACGGATATGTTTTTTATAGTTATAAACAAAAGCCTTTTAATGAGATGGTACTCAGTGGACTTCTCCTGCTTCATGTAATTTCATACAACAATTTCATAAAAATCATCATAATTTTTATAGTTGAAAGACAATACTGACCAGCAAGCTGTCAACTGTACATGGGGTTTCCTGGGAGACTACAAGTATTTTTTTTTCAACAATTGTGGACCACATCCACACCATTTCACCATAATAACCTACTTCCTGTTGTCTCCAAAGTGGTGGTAACTCTGTTAATCAGATATTGATCCTACTTGTAATATAAGGCTAATGATGATGAAACTCTTAAGTGCTGACTGAAATGCAAAGTAATCCAGTTCAAGTGATACAAGAAAAATCAATGTGAAAAACAAATATAATTTTAAATTTTTATTTGTAGCTTAAAATGTAATGCCATACAATTTTAACAATCACTTAAAAAAGGATTAATATTTGCATAAAAAAGAAGCAAAACAGAAAGATATGAAATAAAATGCCATCTTGCTTCAAGTTTTAAAATCAGTACTTAGAATACTAATATACATCTATATTACAAGTATTATATATTGTATAAATATACTATGAGTAATATTGAATCCACAATAAACATCAAGTAGGTTTTGTAGGCACATGGCAAAGGAAAATGCAGAGTCTGCATAAAATTCTTGAGAGTGCTAAGTGACTCACACATCATTTTCACACATATTTCACACAAAATATATAACCATCATACACATGATCCTGAATATAACCTTTCATCCCAATATTAGTGCCTTCTTATTCTTTGATACTATTGCACTATACAGCAATCACATAAGAAAATATTTTGCAGTTTTCTTCAACTAATTTCCTGACAAGGTAGCAATGCAACCAAAATAAGTATAGCCTATCTACACAAAACAGTCACAGAAATGTGCTGAGAGGCACCAACTTACAGAGCTGCTCATTGGGAGTTACCCTGAAGGCAAACATACATTTGAAAGTGTATACACCATTTTTGAATTGCAAATGCCATTACATCCAGAAATTATTAGAAACTGAGGTAACACCTGTTTGTTTGTTTTTAGAGAAAGAAATACTTGAAAAATCACCAAAAATGTTTTTAAAAATTCTGACAAAAGTGAACCTCAGTTGCTGTAAGCTTTGTCTGACATTCTTCCTGTGCAGATGTAAACTGAAAAATACAAAGGAATACACCAGCTGAATTTACACTCACTGTTAGTGTTCAAGATCACAGCCAAGATTGCCCTCTGATGAGTGAAGCCTAAGGCTTCTCTTCATGAAGCCAATGCTGATTGATAGAAATTAACTAAAATAAAACCCACTGAGCCAACTACCCCTGCCCCCAGCTACAAGTCAGATTCCGGCATATCTGGCATATCTGCCACATCTGCCATCAAATACCCTATTCCATACCGCCCATTGGGAGCAGTATCCAAAGTCGGTGATCCACTCTGTTTCCGATAAATATTTTTACCCAAAGTTGGAGATGACATTTCGCTTGGTATCTTTCCATGAATGAGGCTTGCATCATCTCCCTCTAAGTTTACAGGCTCCTTTAGTAGCCTTCCTCTTTTATAGGCCACAGAGGCTAAATTACCTGAATTATTGTCCTTGCAGCAACGAATGAAGTAGACAGCTGGGATGGGGAGTATTGTCAGGATTAGCACAGATATACAGATAATCATTGCCCACGTTGGAAATTTCAGAAAATCTTTAGATGCCTGTTAACACCAAGATATGTATTAATAACTGATTTTCCCTGCAAGTATGGAAAAAAAAATATTTGTCTCAGGTTTGTAAGCAAAGAATTCAAGCTGTTCTTGTGACATACTATGGCCAACACAATAGCATGGATGTGACATTAAGCAACTTCAAGGTTAGACCTTTAAAGGCCTTGCAATTTCTGCTCTGTTTCACAGAATGCTGCTATAAGTCATATTAGTTGGAAGAAGCCAAGAATGAAAATTTACAGAGAGAAACTGGCTCTTTAGTTTAATCAGCTGTATGAGTTAGCTCAGACAAGACCAAAAGAAGACTCATCCAGCTCACCCACAGCACCCAAGAAATAATAACCAGCATTGCTTTCAATTATGACATTTAGGAGGAAGTTTGTCATTAAGAAATAGATACCTGCTACATATGCCATATTGACTTTCTGAAATCTAAATTTTATTGCATTTCTGGGGTTTTGTTGAGAGATAACAGAGTTGTTTATGCCCAGTCATGAATTCAGTTATTATTATTATGTAGAATTATTGATCATAGAATAAAGGTCAGGGATACTTCTGAAAAATAAGCACTCTAACTTTATAACATCCCATCTATATGTAATGGTTGCGCTATGATATAGGTAATACAGCTTGATGACAGAATTGAAATACTTATTGCTAATATTATATAGTTATAACAAAATATTACTTTGATAGTTGTTTACATTATATCTATATGGTTAATGCATCGTTTCATCAGAAAATAATATCTGGTATATGATTTAATACATTGATAAAGGAAAGTATTTCCAGTGGTTTGAGCAAAATGTTTTCTAGTTAAAGATTGAATAATAATTGGTTCATCTATGTGGTGACATGAATAAAGCTATCTTAATGAGAACCAAATTAGTATTTGATTTAATCTACAATGTATTAAGAAAAACATACATTTTTGGGAATGAACAAAACATAAATCTCAAGATCCTTGCATAAAAGCAACACCAATCATTAAATAGTAAAATATACTATGAATAAAGCAAAAGATAAAAACTTCCTTATTTTGTATTTTACCTTGTCTTTATTCCATGCATAATAGCCAGGAGGACTTAATATCATATTCACAAGAGTAACTATTAGCAGTGATAATAGCACTAGAGGAGTAATATATTTCCACAAATAATAATAACATCTGTAGGGAGCAAAGCCCATCATATCTCTTAGGTCTTCCATAAATCTAAATAAAAAGAAGGCAATTTTCTCTCAGTTTATGAATTATCTTATAAATGTGCATTAGACCAATGATTTGACAGGGAATTAGACATGATATCATATAGCATTTTATGCTTATCAAAAAGTTACACTGTAAGATGGCATAAATTAACAAATAAAGTAAAATGGAACCAGTCAAATACATACTATAATTTTTATTTAGGTAAAGTACTCTTTAGCTAACTACTGAAATGTTTTCTTCTACTAATGACTTCCTATTCTATGAACACAGCATTAGCAATGCTTTATCAAACTTCTATACAATGCAGGTTAGAACTTGTAGGTAGCTTGATAGTGTACTGAAGGCTGGTTTTGAAGTTAAAGTCCTGGCTCTACAGCTAATATACTAAGTCCTTCTGTATAGGTAGGGCACATTCTCCATGTGACATGGGAGCTATCGTCACCACAAAGTATTTTTATGAAATTTAAGAATAAGTGAATGTCAGACAGCTATTAGTACTATTTCTGTCTAGCACATGACTATAAAATGGAAGGTCCCCTACCTGGAGCTTTTGACAGTAATAAAAACATTCTCACAAAGCTTACTCAATGTCAATATGTTCCTCTCTGTGTTGGGTAGGAGGGCTCTGGTCTTCATTTAACACACATTCTTACTTTACACAGACCTCTAACAAGCTTCATGATCTTATTGTTTTAGTCTATATGTTTTCACTAAAGACAGCAACTTAAAAAGAAATTAGACAATATTTTGCCAAAAATGTTTCCAGGAATATTTTTCTTCTGAGATTACTCTAATGCTTTATCTCACAGCAAATATATATACTTCTCACATCAAGCAGGTATGTAACTCAGAGGTTAAAGGCATCTAGTGAATCCAAAGAATGACTCCATATAAATATGACGTTTGTTTATATCAAATGCCATATATGTCTCAGAGTAGATATCCTGTGTCCCAAAAATGTATACACACACTTTGAATAATTATAAAGGCAGTTTTTACTAAAATACATTTCATTCTCAAAACTCACCTATCAGCTATTAAACTGTGTATACATTTTTGGAGGACACACTGTATTTTCCCAATATTGGCCTGTTCCACAGGCATTATGTAGCATAAAAATGAAACTCCTCTCAGGAAACAGGTTAGAAAGTAATTAGAAGCATAGGCTGGGAGCTACACAGAAAATACTATGAGTCCCAGGTCTGTTTCTGGTCAGGTTCGATGAGCAAGTCACTTGGTATCTCACTGAGCATGAGTTTTCTCATGTGTAAAACTTAGATAACAATAATAACTCAAAACAAAAAGGTTTGTGGAAAACAGCCACTAGAACTTGGATCTTTCTATTTGAAAACCAGCAGGAAATCAAAGCTCCAGAATCCTAGACTACATTACCACTACACAATTCAATCTTATTACCTGATAGGTGAATCAATCTTATTAAAATTGTTAAATAAAGAAGAGCTTCAAAATATTTCGTTTGTGGCATTTTCTCCTCTAATCATTTTTCTCCCCTTCTAAATTAAATAGGTAATGTCAATTGATGTTTCCAAAATAGAGATCAAAATATACTTACTTATCTGTGCCATAGACAAAGGATACAGCAATAATCTCAAAAATGACTACAATTAGAAATGGCAGCGTAGCAGAATAATCATCAAACATTGCAACAAAGTAACTTCCAGAGCGTTGCACAAATATCAGGCCAATACAAAATGACAGAAAACAACAGAGAACTGGACAAAAGGAATAAATGAAAAATTAAACCCTTATTCAGAATCAAGTATTTTAAATTGTATTATGAATTATTATATTCAAAATACAATTTTGTTTACACTTTTATAACTTGTCAATAATGTGCAAAGGCAATAACTTTCCTAATATTGTGGAATATTACATAGTGGTAGTAGTTACCTGGATTTAACACAGATTTAATATAAATTCACTGTTAGATAATAATACAGCTATCTCCCTTATTCTGGGTAAACTTACTTATCAAGCACAAATAATAAATGAGTTAAACCTGTGAAGATTTTAAAAGTATAAATCCCCATACCTTTCTTCTCTTATTAAGAGCAGTGACCTTTTCAAGCAGAAAATTTTCATAGGTCATTCTATGTTTTTAAAAATATGTTTTACTCAGGGATACAGAGATCGAAACATCAATGATGACAGAGAATCATTGATCAGCTGTCTTTTGCACACCCCAAACTGGGGATCAAGTCAACAAACCGGGCATGAGCCCTGACCAAGAATTCAACCATTGAGCCACACTAACTGGGTGGTCATTCCCACTTTTAACAGCATTTTATAGTTTTGGAAGCTCTGAATTTCTGCATTAGCAATGAGAGTAATGTAGTTTGTAATAAAACTAAAGTCCTGGTGCATGAAATTCGTGCTCAGACGGGGGGGGGGGGGGGGGGGCATGTCCTTGAGCCCAGCCTGCACCTCTCCAATCTGATATCCCTCTAATGGGTAGTCAGACATCCTTCTCACAATCCAGGACTGCTGGCTCCCATCTGTTTGCCTGCCTTCCTGTCCAATAGCCCCTAATTGCTTCTGCCTACCAGCTTGATCACCCCCTAACCATTTCCCTGCCAACCTGATCTATGCCTAACTGTTCCCCTCCCAGTCTGATTGCCTCTAACTGCTCTCCCCTGCTAGCCTGGTCGCCCTTAACTATCCTCTTCTGCCAGCCTGGTTGAACCTAACTATCTTCCTCTGTCAGCTAGGTTGCTCCCAACTGCCCTCCCCTGCTGTCCCAGTCACCCTGAACTGCCTTCTCTTGACAGCCAGGTCAACACCAACTGCCCTCTCCTGCAGGCCTGGTCCCCCCACAACTGCCCTCCAATTCTTGACACATGCGAACACAGGAACCCTCATTCTCAGTGCAAGGTAGCACCAAGCAACAGAGACTCTGATACTCAATTCTCATTGAGGACACAGAGAGTCTCGAACTCCTGACATGCACTAGGGGATTTTGATTTTTGGCACATGCCAATGGGTTCTCTGTTTCAACATGGCACAAGCAGGGTCCCTGACTCTAGGTGCACACACAAGGCCACACTAAGCACCTGTGACTCTGATCCAGAGCAAGCAGCCACATGTCTTGGTGTCAAAGCATTTCAGTGACACTTGGGGAATGCAAAACCTCCACTGCACATGGCCCAGGCCCCTGCAATTTGACATTGGAACCTTCTGGTGATAGAATAGGGAGACAAAAATACAACCCTCAGAGGAAAGAAAATGAGGAATCAACAATAAAGGAAATAAGTGAAATGGAAGCATGCAACATGAAAAAAAAATAATTCAGAGTTGAGCAGAAACTAAGATGGCGGCCTAGGTAAACATGTAAGCTGCCACCTTGCACAACAATTTCAAAACAACAACTAAAAGACAGAACGGACATCATCCAAAAGCACAGGAAAGCTGGCGGAGTGAGAAATCTACAACTATAAAGAAGGAGAAAGGCTCATGGAACAGGGGAGCCTCAAATCGCTGAGGTAGAGAGTCTTGCACACAGAGAAAAAGGCAGCTGAGTGCCTGGCTGACGAGAGGGGAAAGGAAACCCCCAGCTGCATAGAACCACAGTTCCGACTGCACTAAACCCCAACCCCTATGGACCCAGGCTCATACTGGTGGAATCTGGACTTTAAAGAAAGGCACACAGAGGCTTAGGAGACTCGGGGGAACCAGGGGCCACAGCGTGTGAGTGAGTGCGTACAGAGAGGTCTGACTGTGGATTGCCGCAGCTGCTCCATAGCGGAAGGAGTCAGAAGCTCCAGACAACTTAGACCCAACCCAATTCTGGGTGAGCCCTTGGGGCACCCACACTCTTACAAGGCGATTCAGGACTGTCAGACGGAAACTCACTCAGGGGAGTCTCGGAATGCAGAAGTCTGAGACTCGCACACAAGGGAAGGGCTGACAGGAAGCCAAGACTGTCGGCTCAGCCCTGAAACTCCACCCCATCCAAGCTGAGCACAGAGGCTTTTGCAATTTTGAAAGTCTGATCCTATAAGACTGTCTCCAATACAGAAGGTATCTCAGAGGAGACACAGCTGATACTCACATCCAATTGGCTTAGAGGTCAATTCCTCCCAGTGATACCAACAACATTCAAGACTTAACCACAATAAGACTGTACACACAGTTCACAAAAGGGAGCACCAAGATTGTCTACCTCAGGTAAGTGGGGAGGCTGACCCACTGGGACATTTAGGACACCAAACACACAAAGCCATCCTATCAACTCAGGGAAGCAGCAAAAATGCCAAAACAAGGAAATAGATCTCAAACAAAAGAAATAAAGGAGAACAAAAGACTGGATATTACAGTTGTAATATTTTTCAAGAATTCCCTAGAAAAGGCCAATAAATGTAATGAGACCCTCAAGGATATGAAAAAGGAACAACTAGAAATTAAACATACACTGACTGAAAAAAAAAAAAAATTATACAGAGAGCTAATAGCAAACTAGAGGAACACAAGAATCAAGTCAAAGATTTGGAATACAAAGACCAAAGGACACTCCTCTGCTGAAGCAAGAATAGAAGAGAATCCAGAAAGTTGAAGATAGTGTAAGGAGCCTCTGGGACAACTTCAAGCATACCAATATCAGAATTATGGGGATGTCAGAAGAAGAGAGAATACAAGATACTGAAAACCTATTTGAAGAAATAATGACTGAAAACTTTCCCCACCTGGTGAAAGAAATAGACTTAAAAGTACAGGAAGCACACAGAAACCAAAACAAAAGGAATCCAAAGAGGACCACACCAAGACACATCATAATTAAAATGTCAAGGGTAAAAGACAAAGAGAGAAATTTACAAGCAGCAAGAGAAAAACAGTTAGTTACCTATACAACTATCAGCTGATTTCTCAATAGAAACTATGCAGGCCAGATGGGAATGGCAAGAAATATTCAAAGTGATGAATAGTGAGAACCTACAACCAAGATTACTCTACCCAGCAAAGTTATCATTCAGAATTGAAGGGCAGATAAAGAGCTTCACAGATAAGAAAAAGCTAAAGGAGTTCATTACCACCAAACCAGTATTATATGAAATGCTGAAATGTATTCTTTAAGAAGAGGAAGAAGAAAAAAAGGTAAAGATAAAAATTATGATAAATAAATATATATATCAACAAGTGAATCTAAAAATCAAGTGAATTAAAAATCTGAGGAACAGAATAGACTGGTGAACATAACAGAATCAGGGGCAAAGAAAGGGAGTGGACTGATAATTATCAGGGGGAAAAGGGTGTGGGAGTTGCAGGAAGAGACTGAACAAAAATTGTACACCTATGGATGAGGACAATGCGGGGGGGGGGGGGGGGTAAAGGGAGAGGGTGGGTAGGAACCAGATGGAGGGGATCTATGGGGGCTGAAAGGAGAAACAATTGTAATAACCTGAGCAATAAAGATTTTTTAAATTTAGGGGGAAAAAGAATTCAGAGTAATGGTCATACACTTCATACACTGGATAGACTAGAAAATCAACAACCTATGAAACCATCAGGAAGAAATAAAAAATGATATAACGACAATCAAAAACACCATGGAAGGCTTCAACAGTAGACTAGAAGAAGCAGAGGTACGAATTAGTGAGTTAGAAGATAAAGTTTAGAAGCAAGCCCAATCTAAACAGCAACTGGAGAACAAAAAATTAAAAAACAGGAGAGCCTAAGGGAGCTTTGGGACAATGCAAAATGAAATACATACTTGTCATAGGACTGCCAGAAGGACAAAAAAAGCAGAAAGGTTTAGAAAATGTATTTGAAGAAATAATGAAAGAAAACTTCCCTGATATAGGGAAGAAAAAAGTTACACAAGTACAGTCCCAAGCAAGGTGAATCTGAAAGGACTCACACCAGGACATGATATAATTACTATAGCAAATGTTATCAACAAAAAGTGAATCTTAAAGGCTGCAAGAGAGAGACAGAGAGTTACTTATAAAGGATCCCCCATCAGGTTATTAAATAATTTCTCAATAGAAACACATCAAGCTAGAAGGGAATGGAAGGAGATATACAAAGTGATGTAAAGCAAGGGATTGAATCCAAGAATACGCTATCCAGCAAAACTATCAATCAAAATTGAAGGGGAAATCAGGAGCTTCAGAGCCAAAAAAAAAAAAAAAAAAAAAAAAAAAAAAAAAAAAAAAAAAGGCTATGGGAGTTTCTCAATACCAAGCCAACAATGCAAGAAATGCTAAAGGAAATGCTGTAAAAGGAAGAAACAAAAAGGTAAGAAGGAACACAGTCTCAAAAGTAAAAATGGCTACATACTAGTATCTTTCAATAATAATTTAAAATGTAAATGGACTGAATGCTCCATTCAAAAGTCATCCAGTGGCTGAATGGATTAAAAAAAAACAAAACATAACCCACATATATATATATACTGTCTACAAGAGACCCTCCTCAGAACAAGAGAATCACACAGACTAAAAGTGAAGGAATGGAAAAATATCTTTCAGGCAACTGGAAATGAAAAAAAAAGTAGGGATAGCAATACTTATATCTGACAAAATAAACCTCAAAGTGAAGGCCATAACAAGAGATAAGGAAGGTTACCTCATATTACTAAAGGAATCAATACAACAAGAGGATATAACACTTGTAAACATATATGCACCCAATACAGGAGCACCCAAATACATAAAAACAAAACAAATAAACAAAGAAAAAAAAAGCCTCCTGGAAGATATCAAGAGAGAGATCAAAA